ATGTCAAGGGAAACACCGTTACCAACTGTAATTTTACCTGGTCCAAGAAAATCAGAGGCATTTGTAAGATTTGCTTTGTCTGGGGTGATGTGATGTGTGGCACCCGAGTCCACCAACCAACGTTCAGAGGATGCAGTAGCCATGTTTGCTTGAGAGCCTGATTTCAACCGTGAGCAACACTCGCAGCCCTGGTTACCACTGGTAGAGACTGAACCAGACGAGGGATAGCTGCTGGAGGAACTGTGTTAATAGTTGGTATTAACACATGCAAAGTCTTCATCAAATCTATGCCAACAACGGTCAACCAAATGACCTAGCTTCCCACAGAGTTGACATTGAACACGTGACCGACCACGCCCTCGACCACCATTCCTCGATCCAGGCAAAGATGATGGTGCACGATTGCCCCTATGATCTTGACGGTTAGAGATGTTACGATCAGTATCTTCTTGAGCATAATTGGCAGACATTGGTAGAATGTCCTGATATTCATCAAAGCCCGCAATCTGGACCTCAGCATCCATCAGCATAGTGTGGATATTATCAATTGATAAATCCTCCTTCATAGTAGAAACAACATCTATGAAGGGCTGGTATTCACGAGGAAGGCCCTTCAAGATGGCCACAACCTGCTCGACTGTTGGAACAGTACTTCCACACGAGGCAAGAGCATCACATACTTCCTTGATGTGTGTGAGATATACTCTCATAGAATCATTACCTTTTCTTATAGACTGCAGTTTGTAATGTAGGTTCATAACAGACATAGTCGAGCGATTTGCAAAGAATTTTAAAACTGTTTCCCAAACAGCAGCAGCTGTTTCTGCTCCAACGAATTGTGGTAGCAAATGTGTACTCATCGTTGATAGAAGCCACGATGCCAGCGCACTGTCCTGCGCAACAAAATCCTCGTACTCTACATTCACTCGCGTCTCACTATTTGGATTAAGTACTGTCATAGGCGTGAAGAGACATCACCAGTTAGTGCTCCAGCCGATGACTCCTAACTGTGAGTAAAACTTGCTGTTTCCAAAGCAAGAAGTTGGTTTCATCAAGAACCACATTAACTCTCTTGTTGGAGAAGCTTCGAGCTGTAGACGAGGTAAGATCCATGAATGAGCTGAACTTCGAGAACCTTTATTCACGAGCAGAAGTAAGAGCATAAAATCCCACGATCAATGGCGATTGATACCATGTTGAGTTACTATGGTAAATGACTATCAAGAATACATGTAAATTGAATGAAGTAAGTTGATTGTATTGATCAGCTCACCTTACATCCTTATATACAACATTACAGATTTGTTATTTCTTTAACAGTCTTGTAACTGACATATAACAAACTCAACAGATTACAAACAACCCTAGCTTCTAGCAAACTTCTAGAATTACTAAACTGCATGAATGAGCAATGCTGATGCTCACACTAATCACTCATAGATTCATACTTCTAACAAAGAAGAATGTCAAAAACTCTGCAACACTCAGCCTGCTTTAGACCTTTATTTTGCAGTAAACCATGAGCTTTCTCTACTTCCATCCCCTCAAAGCCAAGGCTCCATCAGTTGGTTGCAGATCGCCATGTATTCAAAGTAAATGAAAGCCACAAAAGTGAAGCAGATTGGAAAATTTACAACCAAGGTACATATAATGAATAAAACTGAAACTGCAAAAATAACAATCGTTAACATCTTGTATATCTATTTGTCAGGAGATAATCCTCAGCAAGTGAAGACTAAGATAAGGCATTGGGCGAAAGCTGTGGCATGTTCTCTAAAGCAATCATGTTGCTGAGAATAAGAAAAAGAAACAAAAAGGGAAGAAATATAGAGTAAGAAAACGATATCGCTTACTTGCTTTCATTTTGAATGTGGTCTAAGACCAATTTTCTTCATTCCTTTTTGGATTAAAAAAATATAAACAGCAGCAGTATAAGATACCTAAACACATCCTTTATTTTACTTTGGTTAGTTTTAGTAGGTGAACAATATATATCTTTTTAAATAATATTTTATGCCTTATGATTTTTAATGATTGATTTTTTATTATTATCAATATATTTGAGATTCAAATTTTACTAACAACAAAGGTATAAAGTAAGAGTTAAATCAGAATGGCAAGAAAACGTGATGTAAATTTAGTAGCTAGCAAGCAGCCAGTGCTACTAATTTTTTATTCCAGAATTGATTTTATTTTATGTAGTGATATTACTTTTTATTACAAAACATTTGTTACTGAGCCAATGCTGAAACTCATTTAATCACCACAATTAACAAAATCATAGTTGACGGTGAGGAAGCCATTAGCATTGCCAATCCCATTAGTATCAAGTTGATTAAACACATTAACATCCAAATCCAGGCCTCCGTTGCTGCACTGATCCACGATTCTCACCGTCGCCTGAGTTCCGGTCGCCGTGTTGGTCACCTACACAAAAACACAATTAATTTACATAAAAACGATGAGTTGGAATAACATAACTGAAAAAGTGAGATCAAAATACGTAGCATTTGCATACCCTTAAGCATCTGCCACAAGAAGCTTGACCTCGAGGACCAGCAGGACCGCTGTCCATCCATATCGGCGACGCCATTCCAAGGGCCTACCGGCGTCCCATGTGGCGCAGAAAACACTTGCAGTCATGTAGTCCCAGTTTATATTTTGTGGGTTATAATTGTGGTAAGTAGCTCTCACGTTCGATGCACTTTGGGCAGCCGCCGATGCCACCATACAAGCTAACACCACAATGCAAAGCTTCAATTTCTCCATTTCTTTTTGCTTTCCCTGCTATTTTCGTTGCCTCAAAATGTTGAGAATTCCATGAACTGTTCATTTGATTGGCATTGTTGTGTCATGACCGTAAGCTTGAAAATTCTAAGTCAGTAATGATTTTTACTTTTTGTTTATCTTCTTCAGTCAGTCGGCTAATACAAATTCTAGATGACCATGATGTGACTGAAATTTTGTTTGTTTCTTTGATTTGATTTTTCCTATTGTCCGCATTTATCGGATTTCTTCTTGGAAAACATGGTTCCAATATTTGTACGGTGATTCATTGAATAGCATCATTTTTTACAAGATAATGCAAACATGAAATTGAAAAATCAACTTTAACAAACTAATCAACAAGAAAAATAATTCAAGTTCGAACGTGAAAAAGTTATATTATTAAAAGACAATTTCAATTTTTATTATTTAAAAATATTATTTAAAAGAATAATTTATATCTTAAAAATATAAATTAATTAAATTATATTATATCTTTTATTTAGATTAATTCGACTTAAACTTAGCCATACTACTGATAGTAAATTTTGTTGTTTGTTGTGATGCAAATAATTGGGGTAGTTTTTCTGTGTGGTAGTATAATTTAAGGTTAAAAATGACGATTTTAAGACGCAATTGAAAATGTGATAAAAATCATAATATTTTAGAGTGAACACAACCTAAAATTTTACCTTTTAATTAAATTCTCCTTAGACTTCATATCCACTTCTAGTCTTATCTTTGAACGACTTTTCTACCAATACGACGTTTTGGGAAAACAAAATTACTTTTGACTTTAGTTTTGATAACAATTTGAAATTAAATTATGACGTAAGCAAGATACGTTTAACTCACATATATATATATATATGTGTGAATCCAAGAAATAATGATAATTTGAGCTAATCATATTGAGGGGGGAAACCCAGAACCATAGGCTTTTTTACATGTTTCGAAACAACATGGGCTAGTTGATCCAATTCAACAGTTTTTGGTCCTAAAAGTTGTAGCCCAAGAGGCACCTATGACATTAAAGGATATTCTTTTTAATAAAATGAAGGGATGAGAGTTTTTCAAAGATGGAATTTGAGACCTGTGTCATTTGAAGATTTAATAATAAATACTATATCACCTTACTTGTAATTACATGTATTTTAGTCAACTTTTGAGGCAAAGTTTAGAAATTTGGAGTTTAGAATTAGAGAGAAACTTATGTAATATTTGAATTTTATCCTAATAAAGTGCTTTGGCACATTAAATTTTGCGTTCTATCTTAACGAGTTTCATTAGCCAGTACAGTTGAAGAGCAAAGTTAAATCGACGTAGATGGTGCCCCTCTTCAGTGAAAGTGACGGATATATGTTTACTTTGAATTTTATTTAAAAAAAATTAAATTTTTTATTAGTTATCAATTTTATTGATTGTATTTATCTAATGATTCTATTGTGCCCGCCGCATATAAAAATTATATGTCTACCATCAAAAATAAAATTATGGATCCAACACTATCCCCTCCCTCGGATTCTCTAAGATTTAATGTTCATGGGTGCGGTAAATGGGAGCTATGGGAGAGCTGGTATTGGTGGCGTCCCAAGGGATCATCATGGCTCCATTGTTGCATCCTTCTCTAAAGCAAATCCCACATTTCCCTTTGTTTTTTCCCAACCAAATCCTCAATTTCAGTTAACAAAAACCATATGCCGTAGAGAATAAATTAGGCTTAGGCTTGAGCTGCTTCCAAGTCATTAACCACCAAATGCCACCCTATTTTGGTTTGCAAAATAGGGTTCATTGAATTCATTTCAAAGGCATTGACCAAAAAACAATGCCTTCTAATTATAAAAATGTTTTCTATTTTGGTTTCAAAATAATTGTGTTTTTAATTAATTATTTTATATTGTAAAAGAAGCTGATTTTTTTTATTAAAAGTCTATGGTCCACATTTGTCTGAAAATTGCAATAAAAATATACAAGACCAGCAATAAAAAATACTAATGATTGATTCTTAAATGATTCCCAACAAATTGCACATGGCCTTTGCTTCTACCTTATAAGCTTCTTCATGGATCTTGTTTATTTGTCCCCTCGATTATCAAAAAATGTTATAAAATTAATTAAAATAATAAAAAATATAAATATAATAATTTCAGAGAATCTTTCCATACATTACATTAAAAAAATACGTGCAAAATATTACGAAATGGAGTGGGGGAAAAAAGAACACTCAGACAACCAAAAACACATATTTTTAAGATATTGTTAAACGAACAATTGAAAGTAAACATTTGATATTTCTATTACTTCTTGTCCTTTAAATCTCCAAATTACATTTCTCATAACATTTTCTTTTCTTAATTTTTTTCTTCTTGCTCGATCTCGATTAAGCCGGTTTGGCGTACGGATTAACTCTGATCTTTATAGAAGTTAGATTTTGATTGAGATTGTTGTTGTCGAACCACTTCAGCATCTGTTCTTGCACTTCTCTACTGCTTTTGGTGCTGCATTGGTACCATGAAAAATTAAAACAATGGTTAATTATCACATAAATAAACTGTAATCAGGTTGAGTTGAATCTAAATAAAAAGAGTTTTAAAACTTAAAACTCAGATTTTTGAATTTTGATTTATTTTTGTCAAATTTTAATTAGAATTTTTTTTTATTTTAAAAAAAATCAAACTAACCAAGTCCAATTGCGTAGGATCCTTTCCTAATTCTCAAACGTTTGCAGGAATGAACGAACATCCTAAATTTTTTTAAAAAATAATTAATTAATAATCAAGTAAATATTAATAAAAAGTTAAACAAAAAATGAAAAAATTAACTTACTCCCATGGGACATCTCCAACAAGCATCCAATCTCCATCTTTGTCTTCATAAGTAGGAACATACTCGGAACCATTCAAAAGGTCTATTAATTTGATTTCATTCACGAAATATTTCATTCCTTGTGATCTATAGTTACCAATAGTGAAGGAGCTGAACATTTTGCTCAAGGCATCAGAGAGTTCTTGGTAACTTTTGTAAAGTTTCAAGTCCACCTTGCGTAGATAAGGTGCACCATCCATGCTGACCTTAACAAATGCCGCGGCAATGGTGGCTGTATTGTTTCTGGCCTTCTTGCTGTCACCCTCCTCCTCGGAAATGGCTTTTTGGACGGCCATGATGTTCTTCCGGAAGGACCTGACTGGTGGCCATCCTACCACTTGTGCCCTGAAAAAGAAATTCAAATATTCCCTTAAGTTATCACAAGGAAATAACATAAAATTATTGAAAGTGCGAGACTTTCTTAGCCACTTCCCTGTTGAAACCTTTTGAATTATTGTTTGGTTGGTGGGAAAAGCACTAAAGATTCCGCATGTTTTGTTTTTTCCCCTCTTTTTCCCGACAAAAAACCGAAGCCGTCAAATATCAAAATTAAACCTTTTTTTCCTTCCATTTTACAATGCCAAGATCCAATGAAGACTCATCCTCTTCAAGTTCAATAATATTCTTTAAAAGGAACTATAATAAACAATAAATTGATTTCACTGAAAATATAAACTCATGCAATGAACCTTCTTTCTGTATTATTAAAAAAATATTCAGAAAAATGAAAAAAAATAATTGTAGGTTACTTTGCATGGGGTTTTGCAGGGTCAGTAGAACGAGGTGCAATAGAGCTCTTCTCCTTCATCTTCTCAGGCTCTTCCGATTCGGATTCGGATTCGGATTCGGCTTCGGCTTCGGCTTCCTTTTTTGATAGATTAAGCTTCAGATTAACTGTCTCCGAAACCCCTCGTTTGCTGTTATTTTTTGTTGTTTCACCATCGTTTCCCTTGCCTCCGGGCAACCCTAAACGTAACTCGGTGTCTTCGAAATTAATCGTGTGATACTTGTGCTGTTCCGTGCCCATAATGCTGGTCATTATGATATTTTTTTACACGAAAAACCCTTCCACTATCAACTTTAATCCTTTTCTTTCTCTCGGAATATCTCTCTTGTAGTTTTTTTTTCTCCGTTTGTAGTGTATTTGCTAGATGAATTGCAAATGAATTGGGAGGAAGAATATGTGAAAATGTTGGGAAAGAAGGCCGGTAATGGAATTGTGGGAAGATAATATATGGTTTTTAGAATGCTGCGTTATAACTTTCAAAGGCTATGATGATGCCACGTGGAAGTTAATGTCATGAATGATGTTATATATTTTTTTTGAGCTCCCATGAATGATATTAGGATAACAGGATGAGACATTAGATCATCTAATTTAAAATTTAAATTTTAATATAATAAATTAAGTAAATTGGATTAGAAGAGTCTATTCATATTATATTTACACAATATTTAATCATGTTTAATCGATAATAGATCGAACATCAGTAATTAAATATGAAAAAAATAATGTTTAGTGGATAATACATCAAATATCAGTAATTAAATATAAAAATCATTATAATGAAGTGAGTGAATATAGATTTGATCATTGGCAGGCTCCTATCGAAAATATGGTTAAATTTAATTTTGATTCCGCATATAACGGGCAGTCCATGGAGGCAGCTTTAGGGATGCTGTGTCGGGATAATGCTGGTCTGATATTTGCAGCTTGTACCGTTCCCCATTGGTATGTGGAAGATGCTTTTGTGGCCGAGGCTCTATCGTGATTACAGGCGGTCACTTTTGCTAGGGAACTTGGATTTGCACGAGTAGTTGTTGAAGGTGATTCTCTTACTGTTATTAAGAAACTACTGTCTGACAATGGTTAGGTCACTGATTGCTCCAATTATTCGTGATATATATTAAAGAGGTCTCTTAGGGGTTTGAATGTAAACATTCTGTTTCGCCAGTCGTGAGGTTAATAACGCTGCCCATGTTTTCGCTCGTGAAGGCCGGACGCACAGGTTGCCGCGATACTGGATTGAAGAAGCCCCTCCAGGTGCGACGTTGGCTGCAGAGGTGGATAGGGAGAAGTTGAATCTCCCTTAACTTACTGTAAAGTCATCATGGTTTTGTTTGGGTTCTCCTTAAGGCATTGTTTTCTCGGATAGATTTATATTTGCAGTAGAGTGCGCTCCGAGTCCTCTTTAGTTTTTTTGATAGCTGGTTTAGTTTTCTCCTTCAGATGACTTATTTTACTTCCCTGCTAGAATTTCTCTATGGACTGTTGTTCTTTCTTTCAATTTTAATACAACCAGCTAATTCAAAAATAAAAATTGATCATATATGTACATAAATATCATATAAACAAATTTACATTTTCACCTAATATTATGAAACCTTTAGATTAACGATTCAGATTGGATCTTAAACAAACGACTATTATTTACTTCTTTTTTTTCTATTTGAACGACATACAAAGTTGGTGCTGTTTGCCTTTACTAATTTGTTTCTTACTCCACCAAATAATGATGGCAGATGCACTAAAAAATAATGGAATTTGGTTTGATACTTTTAATTTCATTTCCTTTAATAAATCCTGCTTAATTGCTTTTACAGCATGATTGATAATGAATAAACTAATTAATTATTCATTCTTTTGGGAAAAAATAACATGAATTTTTTTTTATAAATTTGATTAGGGTGATGAAGATAGATTTCTTTTTCTTCTTTAGGGTTTGTGTCGCTCTCTATAGACTTCTCTATAGATTTCTTAATTTTTTTTAAAAAAAAATTAGTCAACGATGACATCGATTTTGATGTTAATTAATGTTCATTGATTCTCTTTTCTTTCTTTGCTTCTTTTTTTAGTTTTCTAATAAGAAAAATTCTTCTTTTGTGACTCACTTTTTCTCTGTATTTGTGACACGTTTTTCGTCTTTTTTCCCAATCGTTTGATCGTTCTTTTTATTTTATGTTTTCTCATGGTTGGCTTTAATAACGCAAAGACTGATCAAGATAACACTTGTTTGTAATTATGCTGATCTTCGTTGCTTTGGACCATTGAATTGAATTTGGATACGTGATTATGCGTTTCGTGGATAGTTTCTCACGATGCTTGGCTTTGATGTGCAGTTCTCAGTGGTCTTTCAATAGTTTAATCTCCTTTTATTGTTTGTTTGCGGACATATTTAAATTTATTTGTATCTATTTTCGTTCGAGTCTTTTGATTGAGTTTTTAACATTTTTCATATTTGGTCATTGTATGATCTAAAGTGATTAGTTTCTTGTGTCAATTTTATAGGAAAATTTTTAAATTATTTATTTAGTTTACGATGATAATTATAAACTCATGTTATGATTTTGGAAATTTTCACTTTTTAATAAAACTAATAATTTATATTTAAAAAAGAATTAGGATGGTATACAAAATGACTGCAAATATTTTTATAAATGATTATATAGATATATCTTATATTTTCATGTTATTATATAGTCTTTAAATAAAATGAATATAAAATAGATTTAGATTCATATAAGATGATTTCGTTCATCTACATAATAAGTGTGAAAAAAGTAATTATTCTATCAAGTTCTTGATTGATTTTACTCGCAGAGATTATTCAAGTATTAATTAATAGAGTAATTTCAAAACCATTAAACTTTTAACAACTCGAGTGAAAATGATTATATACTCTTAAATATTGATACCCAATTAGAACATAAGATTAACTTAAATTAGTCATTTTAGGCATGATTAATTATTTACATTGAATTTCTTAAATTAATTATGATGAATTTTTTTCTAATAAAAAGTAATAAATGAATTGTATTGAATAGCACGAAAATACGTTTTAAATATCAAATGGGATCATTTAAGCCCAAAAATAGACATATATATATATTATATTAAGGCTACGAGCTTGGAAGGAATAAACAAATGACAAGTGGACAATTGGGGAGCCCACAAAAAGGCAAACACCGCTTTGGCAAAAAGTCAGCAAAAAAGCAAGTGGGCGTTTGATTGGGCCAGAGAGTATTCCGTTGGGTCCCACTCTCTCCAAACTCGGTCTTCTTGCTCTTTAGATTTTAGACACCCTTCCATTTCTTCACCTTAATTAGCATCTTCTCCACTCCCGCCCCAGCCCCATGTGCCATAGCCATACTACACGGTAGACAAACAATCAAATATATATAAAAAATGCAATACGGTATACAAAAACTATAAATAAATAAAGGTACATGAATTATTGATATGTCAAAGTTCATGATTTTTTTAAATATTTTTAGGGGTGATTAAGACACGTAAAATAATGTATATGTATCGTTATTATGATATTATATAAAACCTAAAGTCTGAGTCTTTATTAGTCGTACCAAGACCTAATTGACATCACTCGCGCCAATTTTTAACAGAAGAATAAAAAATGAATTAAATAAATACATAGTGACTGTTTATGTATTACATTGATATTTGTATAAAATTGATGAAGGTATGGGCGAAACATGTGCAAGGCATGGGCAACAAGAAGCAAATATCCGAATTTAATCAATGCAAAAAGGTGACACAACACTGAAAGCAAGGGATGACAAGGACAAACCTTCAGCTCCGAAACAAAACGAAATAAAAGAGAGTCCTTCGCCAGTCGTTCAACACTGAGAAATGTGCCCTCCTCTGGGCTTTCTGACCCAAACAAGCCCACTGTCACTATCCCATACGACCCACACGTGTGCATTCTTATCTATCTATAACGTGAATCTCCCACTCTGTAATTTCCTATCAATAAAATTTAATATTTGATTTTTCCATAAATTCTAAATCTAATCTTAATTCTACTTAAAAAGAAGGGAAGAGAGACTCTAGAGGAAGGAAGGAAGGAGAATGCTCCTAGTGGGTCTAAAACTCATGACTTAAGGGAATATAAATGAATAGAGATGAGTAACTTGGTCAACCGATCAAATTTACTTCCTCAATATTCTATTTTTAAATGAGGAAATTTCTTTTTTTAATAATGGAATGAGAAAAAAATACTTATATAATGTGCAATACAAATTATTGTTTGAATTAAAGTCTTTGTCACAATATTTGATGAAAATCATCAAGACTACACGATGGCTTCTGAAAGTTGTCGTTAGGACAACACAAAAACTTATGCCTAAGATTTTGTTCCCTTTTATTGCCTATATGAGGAAGTCGCCCAACAATCCGGACATCTTCATGAAATTGTATAGTAGTCGAAGTGATTTCCCACTAGCATTATAGTTTCGACCTATTTGAGATAAATAAAATTTCAAGAACATTAATTAAACAAATCTTTTTCTCAAATGTATTATATGGACACTTTTACCATTAAATTTTCCAAGATTTTAAATTTATAAATGTAATATAGTTATTCTCATTATGTTTAAATTAATTCAATTAAATTTGTTATATTGCTTTTATCCCGGGTGAATAGAGATGATTGGTAGGATGGTTTTTTATATAGAAATTTTAAATTCTCATATAATTTAAATATTTTTTTATTTTTTATTAATAATTTATTTTCATCTTCTAAAATATTATCTTAATCAACTTAAATCTATTGTACATTTCACATAGATTCTTATCTTTGAAATGGTTACCAAACTCACACTTCCATCTTAAGGTCAACAATTCAATTAGAGATTTTAAAACAAAACCAAAATGTTTTGAAATTTAGAGAACAAAAAGCTTTCAACTCAAATCTTAATCAACTTGAATGGTTTAACTCATTCATATCTCAGAATATTATATTTGGATTGAATTGTCATTAAAGATTAACATTACATATATAATATTTTTAGTTTAAATACTAATTCAATAAGATTTTTATTTTTTATTTAAATATTTTAAAAAGTATTGTTCTGATAATATAAAATACTTTAATTGCTTTTAATTTTCGATCCAACTTCGTGTCTGTCAACAACAATAATCAATATAAGATTCACGAGTGACTTGTCGCCCTCCTACCCTGACATGGTTTTAATTGTGAAAATGATTTGGAATTTTAGGTGCGTATTCATATAGAATAATAAAAATTTCTTTATTAATTAAATGTTTTGAATTATGGCTGGGATTTTTATTATAAAAACAATACGATAAAGTAGAATCCAGGGGCCACCATGAACAGAAATGTGAAATGTTGAGGAAGATGCTTCAATCTTAATTTATGATGAATTTGATAAAATATAAAGTATAACTTATTAAGTACTGTTTACTCGTTGGGAAACAAAAGAAATTAAACAAGAAAGATACAATGATGCGGCTAAAGAGAATATTAATAATAATAAAAGCTTTTCTTTATGGGTAAAGTACTCATATGATCCTCTAATTATAGGGTGTTACTTTATTGAATCTCCCGACTATTAAAAATTTATAAGATGATCACTCTAATATTCATATGTTCGAAACTCATTCTTTTCCATAAAAAAGATTAGTGGTCCTTTGAGTTGGACGTTAACATGTTGATTGTGATATGATAAAATATGATCTCATAGCCGTTTGTATTGTATTTCATGTATCGATTCTCCGTTTACATTATGCCATTGAGCCAATGCTTGAAACATTATGTCGTCAAGTCAGTGCTAAAAAACAACGACGATGTCAGAAGATATCATTAAAATATGATTTTATCATATCTAAGTCGACTAAAAGTTTTTTATAGCTCAACTCGAATTTAAATTTTTTTCGAATCGAATCGAGTTTATAAAATTATGAGTTAAGTCAAATTAATTTAAAATTTTAAACATTAAATTGAATAAAAGTAATAGTTTTTCAAATTGAATCGTATTTTTTTCACTCCTAATTAAAAAAGTGACTGAAGAAATGGTAACGAGAATTAGTGAGTGGTGGTTTTCAAGGGACCCAAATTGGTGTTAGAGGAAGAAAGCTGGCAAAGAGTGGGGGATGGGATGGAGGAGACCCCGTTTCCCAGCCAGAAAGTAGGAGGAGAAAATAAAGGGGGTTCGTAAACATGTCACCAACAATTAATTTGTTCTTCTTCCCATTCAATGAAAAGCTCCAAGTTGTTGAGCAAAGATTACTTGTTAATGTCGACCGTCGTCACTATTCAAACAGCGACACGCTCGTGTGCCCCTGCATGCATCAAAGCAACGCTTTTATTACCATGCATTCATCAAGAGTTTCATATTGAAGACGACAATCAACCATTGCAACTTTTTGTATTGGTTGTCGCTGCCCTTTCACGTCCTTAATTACCATAGGAAACGAAACAAATATCAAATCCTATAATTCATCATATTACTGAACTACTTAAATTCGTATTTTTTAATTAATTAATTAATTAATTAATTGTACCTATATTGAAAATTTATTTATGTTAGTCACGTATAAAAGTTATGTTATTAACATATACATGTTCACTTTTAATTTTTTTTAATCCTGTAATGTAGAAATATCTCTAAAATATTTAAGTTCAACAAAAAAATAATTAAAGATATGTGATATTTAATTTTATAAAGATTTGTATCGTTTTTTTGGATAAAAATTAAAGAGAATGCAAGACTCCTCCCGTACTCCATTTAGGGACTAAAAATATATTTATCACAAAACTATAATCAAAATTCATAATGGATAGTTAAAACACATAATTATTTAGAGACTAAAAACATAAACAGTTCCACCCTTACAACCCACGGACAGCCATATCAAAATTTCCATCCTCTATTTTTAAAAAAGAATAATTAAGAAGGATAAAAATGAAGAGCCATGGATATTACTTCAAATCAAAGTGCTAGGCCACTTTGAGTTCTATAGTTTAATTTTGATATTTACTACTCTTTCAATTATACCAGTTTGTCTTTTTAAAATAAACTTAAAAATTATTAATTATTTTACAAATTCAATATTTTTTATCATATTCAAATAAATTTTTGTTGTGTAAAATTAAATTTATTTAAGACAATCACGGCGATTAAATCCTATTTTGATTATCATTATAATATTTAAGGGATATGAAATCAGTCATACTTTAAATGTATTACATTTAATTCATTATTTTTAGGTAAATTTATATCATGGTCCCTCTGTTATATTCAAATTCAAGATTTATTGCTAAAATTTAATTTGAAATAGGTTGATCCATCTACTTCTATAACGTTATCATTTAATTCAAGTGATTAGTTATGCTAATGTTCTCTTATTGAAATAAAAACATGATTTTTTCTTAAAAACTCGAATTACAACATTTTTGTGATGAAAGGGATATTTTATTTTTAAGAAAAAAATCATGTAAATATTTTAATTAGAATAATCAGTGATATTAATTATTTTGACTAATTGTTTTTATAATTTTATAAATATAAAAGATTAAATTATGTCAAATTAAAGTATACTGACCAATTCCAATATCAATTGCAATAGAGGGAGCAAAACCAGAATTTGGCACATTTTGTTAATTATTTTAACCTTTATTATTATTATTATTTTGTAAACAGCGTCCTTTACCTTTATTACCATAACATTCCATCTATAAAGATACCATTGAATTTTCAGAAGGCGCATATGTTCTCTCTCAAATCATATTCAAAAACACAGAGGAATTAAGGTATGGCATCTGAGAAAGATCTTAACCTCGAGGCGACCGAGCTCCGACTAGGCTTACCGGGCACCTCTGACGAGTCAGCTAAGAACCAAATGTCGGCAACTCCCCGGAGCAACAAAAGAGCCTTGCCTGAAGAATCTATGTCTAGTAATGCCACAGCTTCCAAGAACTGTGACCAAGAAACTACTCCACACACCAAATAAGCAAATCTTTTTTGGGATCAAAAACGAGAGATTCCATGTGTTTTTTCCCTGTTCATTGATTAATGGTTTACTGATCACAATAATATTGCAGGGCACAGGTTGTAGGGTGGCCACCAATCAGATCTTACAGAAAAAACAATCTGCAACCAAAGAAAAGCGAGGCTGAACCTAGTGGGATTTATGTGAAAGTGAGCATGGATGGAGCCCCTTATCTTAGAAAGATAGATTTGAAGGTGTTTAAAGGATACACAGAATTGCTTAAGGCATTGGAAGACATGTTCAAGTTCAAAGCTGGTAAGCATCGTTTTTTAAACTTATATAATAATTTCTTTTGGTAAATATCATATATTTTTTTAAAAAAAGGGCTTTTTGTTTGTTTGTTTTTTATCATCAGGTGAATATTCAGAGAGGGAAGGATATAATGGATCAGAATTTGTGCCTACTTATGAAGATAAATATGGTGATTGGATGTTGGTTGGAGATGTACCATGGGAGTAAGTTCTTTTTCTCCTTTCTTTATTTGTTCGAATTACAGATATTCGAATTCGAATATCTAATTTTGTTGTTTGAAATGCAGAATGTTCACCAATTCTTGTAAAAAGCTGAGGATCATGAAAGGATCAGAAGCAAGAGGCTTGGGTTGTGTTGTATGAAAATATGGAAACAAAAACTCATGAAGAAAGAAGATCAAATGCTTTTAACTTAGGCTATCCAGAGAAGAAATTTGGATCCCAATTTTTTTCTCCTTTGTTGATTAAGCAACAAAGAAGATTCATCCGAGGATTTTTTTCTAAGGCATAACCTAAAAAAAGAAAAAGAAAACATATTTTCATGTATAGTTTGCCATGTTTTTCCTTATGGAATTTGTACAAAGGAAAACACTTGAAGTTCATAACAAGGTTTTCCTTTTCATCTTCTCCCATGTATGATATGAATCAAATCCACATTTGTAATTCTTTTTTCCCTTTGGACTTGAAACGGATGTATTGAAAGATTGTCAAACCATTTAATTAAACAATCACTAACATGACCAATCTACATCCAAAATTATCTGTTCAATGTTCATCGATACAACGGACATGCGAGTTCAGGAATTTTATGGACTAAATGATGGTTTGTGAACTCATACACTTTCCTTAGAGCTAGAGACCTCAAGATCCGGAATCTTCTCTTCACTAACAGCTGTGGAATTCTCCTCGGATTGCTCTGTTAGAGACTCAGGATCCTTTTTCAGCTCGGTTTCGAACTCCTTTGCAGCCTGCAAAATTTAAGGGTTATTGGATCCAGTCTTATCAACAATGTAGAACGTAAGCAACGCTACATCGAATTAGTAATCCTTCATTTTTCTCCTAAAATTTCTCAGTGGAAATACGAAAGCCTCAATTTTGACAACAATCAAATAACAAAAGAAGCATTTTTGAACCAACAAAGGGATTCAAATTCTTCGTCATTTTACATATGAATCAAAACCCAGATAAGGAAATTTACAAACCTGTTGAAAATTCTTGACAGTTCTCCCAATAGTCTTCCCAACTTCAGGCAACTGCTTCGGTCCAAACAAAAGAGCCGCCACTCCAGCAATAACGACAAGTTCCGGCACACCAAGACCAAACAAAGCATTGCAAGTGAGACCCTTTTTAGCAGGCTCAGCTGTTGTCTTCCTCATTGGTCGACCAACGACAAAGGAAACAGATTTGGTCTGTGATTTTGCTCTGCTCAACAAAGAAATGGTGTTATTGGTGGTGATGAAATTGGATTGGGAAGAAGAAAAGGGAAGTGAAGTTGCTGCTGCTGGGGTTCTTGAAAGAGAAAGTGTTATGGAAGTAATCTCCATGGTATTACCAGCCAAGCTCTTTGAATTCGAAGAGCTTTTATTTGTTTTCAATAATTTAAGTTTTATAGGAATATGGAGATGATGAGGTTTTTGTTTCAGCAAAGAAAATACCAAAGAAGAAAGATAACAAGGAGCGTGTCCCGTGTAAGGATGGGAAGTAACTAGGATAAGTTCATTTCTTTTACCTATGTTTTTATCTGCATTGTACTTTTGGTTGTTGAGAACAGTCTAATTAGTGGAGTATATTTTTATTGTATTTAATTTATTTTAGGATGAACCATCAAGTTATATATTTAACATATGCGATCAAAATGACAATAAAGTATAAAATGAGTGATAAAAATGAAAATAAAATTTATAAATTTAATGAGTAATTAAAATAAAAATAAATATAATTAGAACAATTAAAATAAAAAGCATCTCTAATAGCGTAGCTCAATTTGCTTTTTTATTTTTGGTGACTAAAATTAAAATTTATGAAAATTGGGTGACTAACTGTATAGTTAGCCTTTATTTTATTTAGTACTACTTATGATTTATAAATGTGATAAAACCCATAACATTTAAATTATTATTCTCAATATTTTCTCTATTTTTTATTCAAATTTTTATTTCTCTTTGATTTTTGTTTAGTCGACATCAACATCAATTTTAATATTAATGGTTGATAGTTGGTAATTATTATTTATCTTGTTTTTATATACTATGTCATTTGTTTTCTCTTGTTTTGATTTTTTTTTTCAATTTTGAATAAAAATCTTTGCTCTTATAACACATTTTTCTCTAACTTGTAGCACGTTTCTTATGACTTTTGGTATATTTTTCACATACATTTGTGATCGTTTTGGTGCTCGTACAAAGTTCCTCATGACATTTGTTTTAAGATTGATTTATCAATGATCATGTATAATCACATCCTCTATTTGGTAAAAGGTTGTTTGCTGATATAATTAAAATTATGTAGCAAAGCAACCTGCCATATAATTTGGTTCGCCTACCACTCTTTTATCACTTCGTAAAGCATCTCGCTCTATAAATATAAATAAATTTTATGAAGGTTATTGTGTTCTTTTTGATGTTAAACGTCATTCTCAAGAGAAAATTTTGTTTTACTTCATATGTTTGAGTTTAATATGTATGAATTTTTTTAAGACTATTGTCTTTGCTCTTCTTTCTATACTTAGATACATTATAATTATAGTTTGTTATATTATCTTTATTAATGAAATTCGGTTATCATTATAAAAAATATATTATTACAGTAATAATTATATAATTAAAATAAAATCAATCATATAGTATTATACTAAATATTTAATAAATCGTGCTATATAATTTCAATGGGCAGTGTAACAGTATCATATTCATTTTTATTTATATATTATTTTATATGCTAACATATATAGAACATAAATACCGGATATAAATACATTTAGAAAAACATAAACATTTCTTCACACCAATTCAACTTTACCTGGTTTAGATTCTACAAAGGACAACTCATCAGTATCATACACTTTATTGTTATGCTTAGAACTGAGAAGCCTCTCTCTATCGTGCCACAAAGCAAAGGCTTGCTCGCCGTGGACGGCATCGTCGCCGTCTTCCAGTTCTTCATCCGACAATCTCAGTGGAACAATTAACCCAACGAACCAACAAATAATGCTCGTCATAACAACATTGAACACGATCACGAATGCCATGGCTGCAATTTGAATCCCCATTTGCTTAAAACCAGCAGATGTCCGACCATTTTGCAGGCCATAAACGAGACCAAGGTATTTTTCCCAGTCCGTCACCATGTAGAAAAGGCGACAAAGCTTTGGCACGGCGAAGAAGCCCGTAAGGATGCCGCCGAGGCCGCCTGCGACGGCGTGGGTGTGGAATATGGCGATGGGATCGTCGATCGACCTCAGTAGATTAACTTTGTTATGAAGAATCATCATTGTGTACCATGGAACACTTCCTGATACTATTCCCATTATAATAGCTGCCCAGCAATGAACCACACCTGCTGCCGGAGTGATGCAAACGAGGCCGGTGATCATCCCTTGAATGGCGCCGAGTACAGAGGGTTTCCCGAAGAAGAAATAGTCGAGGAGGAGCCAAGTCAAGAGGCTTGTGGCGGTGCAAACGTGAGTGTTAAGGATGGCCAGACTTGAAATAGTGCTTGCAACAAATGGAGCTCCGCCGTTGAACCCGCTCCACCCCATCCAAAGCAATCCAGCACCGGCGAGCATCAGAATCACATTATTTGGAGGACTATTTCGCCTGTCTTTTTCAGCCCTTGGACCAACCTGAAACAAATGGTGACTTAAAATGAATATACTACTCGTATCAGATTCACACCAGGGTTTGAGTATGGTGATTAGTGGTTACCCAGAATGCTGCAGTAAAACCTGCAACTCCAGCCGAAAGGTGAATAACGAATCCGCCAGCGAAATCGATTACGCCTAGCTTTGCCAACCATCCTTGAGGACACCATATGCTGAAAGCTGCAACCGTATACGAAAACGTAAGCCATAATGGCACGAAAATTATCCATGCACGAAAGTTCATTCTCCCGAGAAGCGATCCGGCGATCAAAATCACCGTGATCGCTGCGAAAACCGACTGAAAGAACACCATCGTCGCGGTCGGAAAGTACAGGAGCAATGCCCTATCCAGCAAGAACTTCTCGTCTAATGCGACGGCGGGTTTTCCTAAGAAGAAGACTAGTTTGTCCCCGAATGACATGCGAAAACCCCACCCGACCCAACATACAATAACCATTGCAAAGGCGTAAAACGCCATGAAAGCCGAGTTTATAGCCCATTTCCTTTGCACCATGCTTCCATAGAGGATCACAAGGCCCGGGATGCTTTGGAGACCCACAAGGGTTGCCGCTGTTAGCTGCCATGCGTTGTCGCCTTTGTTCAGCCACTCCGGGCTAGCTTCGTCCGGTATAAGGTTCGAAGGCAGCGCCATGGAAATCAACGAATGAGGAAATTATGTTAACTAAAATGAAGTCCAAATTGAGAACACCTTAAATGTGTTTATAGCTGTCTTGTATGCTTGTGCATGTGTTGTTTGGTTTACTTGCACCGATACTAGTCCTTGAGGCCGGCCATGCAGGCTAGTAATTGGCTTATCTTTGAATGATCTTTCAGTACATGTCCAAACGTCTCACTGATAAAGATAATATTCAAATTGCCAAGAATCTGAAAACAGCCGTACGTTCAAGAAACGCCATCAAAATTCAAAATATTGAACTCATATATATATATATATATATTTTAATAATATGGTCTTGTCGCAACCGTCTTTCGGTTGGGCTCGGAATTGGGCTTCGACTTGAAAAATATAGATTGGAGTTAGAGTCGCCACCGATCACTTTAAAAACATTTAGGTAGGTCAGACACCATCTTACATGATCTGCGTTTTACCAGAAATGTATCGGGTCCGGGAGTCGGTTACGGTCAAGGAAGGATTAGCACCCTTGAACCGCCCTTTCGGTACCAATTAATTTGTCGGTTGTCTTAATTACGAAAATTAAAAATTAAAAATAAAATTTAAAAAGTTCGATTCAAATTAATTACCTTTGATTGATTGAAAATATCCCTAAAAAGTCAAAAACGTTAAATAAAGAATAATAAATAAATATTAAATAAATGAAAAGAAGGAAAAGAAAAAAAATAATACTAAAATAAGGAAATAAAAACATTAAATAAATCAAAAGAAAAAAATGAAATAAAAAGTAATAAACTAAATGAAATAAATATAAAAAAGGAACCCATAGATGAAGAACCATATGTTGAATTTACCAAAAGTTCAAAAGCATTGTATTTTTTTGTTTGATCTCACGCATGCAGGAGCCTTTTCTAAGGCATTTGCAATTTAATTTAAAACAAACTTTCCCTGTTAGTGCTAGCAACCAAGCAACCTTCAGTGGTAGTCATGGGAACCGAGAACTCTCCTCCATTAAGCAACAACAGCCCAGCAATTCCCTCGGAAATCTGCAAGTACTCGATCGGCATCTCACAATGGAAACCCAAAATTGACTTGTAATCGAACCCCTCCAAGGGCAATCCAGACAATGACTTGCCCATTAATCTCTGTAACGACTCACGCCTAACTGCAACCGCTCTCTTGCAATCACCTAATTCCGATTCCAACGAATATGAAGGAATTGTTCCTGCCACAACAGATTTAATTATCTCCTCGTCTTCCTCCGTTAAATCTGTCAAAGGCTTTTCATCGAACAATTTCTGGACAGCTAATGTAGAGAGCTATAGATGAGTATTCGATTATGTCGATTCGATCATCATCAAGCCTTGCATAGTTAAATCCTAGAAGATAATCAATTTGTTCTAATTGATATTGCAGGGCCATGGAGAAGGAAATTAGTAAAGCCTAAATCTCAACTCCATAAGTGGTTCTTAGTATTGGAGAAATAACAGTAATTTGAAGTGAACATTACCTTTCTTTTTTAATCAAATCAGAAATTGATAAACATAGATGCAATGATAACATCATATAATTATTGTAAGATAAGCACTCCAAATCATCCAAACAAACCCGTGAAGAAATTCAAACAAAAGATTATTGAAAAATAAAATAAGAAGTAGGCCAAATACAACAGATCTAAAGTTCACATCACTTATCTCAATAGCGATTCTTAAGCTCCTCGAGTTGCTGGTTTAACTGCACGATTTTAACAAGAAAGCTAGTAACAGAGAAAAGGATCCAGTACAGAATAAAGGCAGCAACGATGAGGAATGCGTGGCGTTGGCTTAGATAACGTCTTTGGTCAATCCGCTAATTCGATTGCTGGTTCAAACCGGTGGCTCCTTGGTTTTCAGCAAGCAGTGATGGACATAATCCAAGTTCCAAGGATCCCAAAGTCGAGCCATCTATCAATCTTCTCTCCGTTGATGTTTTTGTTGTTGAAACTGGTGACGTTGAGACTCTAAAAAGCGCTGATTGGAAGTGGAAAACGTGTAGCGTTGGTGGTGGAATCGGGTTGAAGAAAAATGATGTTTAGTTCAATGTAAGATCAATGAAACCAAAATGCAGGTCGAATGCAGTATTGTTGTTGATGATCAGTTTGAACCCCTTCTGTCATGGACATATCACCTTATAAGCACATCATTTGCTTTCGCTTCCCCCCTTCCCAGATGTGAGTTGAGGAGATAATGGGTGGTTATGAATGTTGTAGGAGTAGTGGAGGTTGTTGAGTAGTTGGAAATGGGCCCTGCAAAAAAATAAAAGAAATAATAATAATAATAATTAAATAATTAAATAAATAAATAATACAATAAAAATAAAAATATAAAACCCGATCAAAAATGGGTGTCTACAGCTGCCCCTCTTTGCATATTCTTGTGTTAACAAGAATAGGGCAAAGACGAAAAAGACAACCAGTTTTTGTCTGGTATTCTCAAATGTGATTGGTCTTCCTGGAATTGGATCGTTGTCTTCTTCTTGGTTTAAAGATTTCGGCTTGAAAATTCTTTCAGAAAGTAGTTCATCGCTGTCATCGAGCTGAATAAAATCGAACTCGTCAGGTCTTTGGCTGGCAGATAGCCCTTCTCGACTTAAGCTATGCTGCAAATGATGTGCCTCGGAGCTGAGTGTAATCGAACTCGAGGGTCTTTTGGATGGCAGATAGCTCTTCTCGATTTAAGCTATGCTGCAAATATTGTGCCTTTGAGCTGAGTGTAATCGAACTCGAAGGTCTTGGTTGGTAGATAACCCTTCTAGCCCTAAGTTATGGTGCAAATGATGTGCCTTAGAGCTGAACGTAGTCGAACTCGAAGGTCTTTGGTGACAGATAACCCTTCTAGCCTTGAGTTATGTTGTAAATGATATGCCCTCGAAGCTGAGTGTAATCGAACTCGGGGGTCTTTGGCAGATAGCCCTTCTCGACTTAAGCTATGCTGCAAATGATGTGCCTTGGAGCTGAGCGTAGTCGAACTCGAAGGTCTTTTGGTGACAGATAACCCTTCTAGCCTTGAGTTATGCTGTAAATGATGTGCCCTCGAAGCTGAGTGTAATCGAACTCGGGGGTCTTTGGCAGATAGCCTTCTCGAGTTGGATATCATTCGTCGTGAAGTTGAAATCCAATCTAAAGATGGATGATGCTTGTGTGCACGATTCCCTTCGTCGTGAAGTTGAAACCGCAAGTGGCCCCTTCGTCGTGAAGTTGAGCCTAAAATTGGATATCTTTCGTCGTGAAGTTGAAATCCAAGTAAGTAGCATTGTTCCGAGTCCAATATCCTCCGTCGTGAAGTTGAAAGTTGTTTATTGACAACCAGCGGTCCCTTCATCGTGAAGTTGAACTTGCGTTGTCTGGAGTCCAATATCCTTCGCTGTGAAGTTGAAATTGTTTATTGACAACCAGCGATCCCTTCGTCGTGAAGTTGAACTTGCGTTGTCTGGAGTCCAATATCCTTCGTTGTAAAGTTGAAATTGGCTCTGAAATTGAGAAGTTGTTTGTTGACAACCAGCGGTCCCTTCGTCGTGAAGTTGAACATGCGTTGTCTGAAGTCCAATTTTCTTCGCTGCGAAGTTGAAATAGACTCTGAATGAAATTGGAAAGTTGTTTGTTGACAGACAACTTTTCTTGACTTAAGTTGTGCTGTAAATTTCCTTTAAATGACAACTTTTCTTGACTTAAGTTGTGCTGTAAATTTCCTTTAAATGAATGATGGCCCCTTTCGCCAAATTTTGTGAGCCGGATATCTTTCGTCGTGGAATTGAAATCTGGCTTGAAAGTGTTAACTGGAAACATACTGCTCATGGTTGAGTTTGTATCGAACTGGATTTGTTTTGAACTGGTTCTCGAACCTATCTGAAATTGGTTCTAAGATGTCAAGTCGGTTGAGGTGTAGCTTCTTACTGCCGAGTTAATCAACCATCATCCTTCTTTGAAGGCGCTTGAGAATCGAGTATCCTTCATCCTGAAGTCAAAACTTGACTCTAAAAGCTGCAAAAACGTGTATGCTAAAATGATAAATGTGATGCACCTAAGTATGTTTAAGATGCATGCAATATGAATGAATTATGTGTTATCTTCTGGATGGAGTCTCGTGCTTTGTCTGTCAATCAGGTCCTTGGAATGGATCGTGCCCTATTTGCTTCCCGAGCTTTGGCTTTACAGACCTTTCATATCTGAGACTGTTCTGCTTGAAAATGTTTTTCTCCTTTTTCTTGTTTTAGGAGAGAGACATGATAAAAATGTTGTAAAATATTGTTCGCAATTGAATCAAATTATAAACGTGAGTTCAAAAAATATCAAAGGAATCAAGAGCTCTTTTAATGCTTTCAGAGTTACAAATCTTTGACAAATGTTCAAATGGATGAGTTGGCTTTAGGTTAGCCTCCTTTCTAAGGTTTTGGTAACCCAAAATGTCATTTTTTTAAATATCGAAATATGCTTTGGCATTTCATTTGGGTGCGGACATAATGACGCAACTAGAATGACCAATTACTAGACATTTTATTTTCGGTCATCTGAAATCTTTCATTTGTTCAAGCTTTGTAGGCTCCTCCAACAAAGGCAGTGCGAAAAATATCGGTCTAAAAATGAAATTCTTGAGTACTCGTGTGTAGTCGACTATAACAGGTGTTCCTTAACTCCCTTAGTCCAACATTACCGAAAATTTCTTGCTCAGATAAATTTGATTTAATTTTCCATTATCTAGCTAGCTGAATCCATAAAGTTGGGGCGTTTAACCAATTACTTTAGAGGGACAGCTTAACATTATAATCACTTTTATCAGGTTTAACTGAAGGGTTCATCTCATCACAAAGTCTTCGGCCTGACAAAAGCAGTGGAGCAAACACCGAATTGCCAAGTGTTCGAGCAATGTCATGGTTTGAATACAATCTATTCATAAAGCCAGGGCTTTCGAGTTTCCTCTGTAACCAATTGCCTTAGTGGAATAGCTCAGTTTTACGGATTTAATTTCTTAAGATTGTCAAGAAGAACCTGTTATAGTCTAGGTGTTTGTTGAAAGTAAAAAATTTCATCTTTAGAGTTCAATTTTCAAGCAACTGACCTAAACTAGATTCACTTACTCGACTATTCCATCTGTGAAGATCATTATCATCACTGAACGTCTTAAATAAAAAGTATAATAATGTCATATGCAAAAGGATGCCCCATGTTGTCCGCACCTTATGAAAGGAAAATGTTATATTGGTTAATTACAAGAGCAGGGTACGGTGTTTGCGTGTATATTATGGGTAAAGTCAAATTCCTTGTTTTAAATCATGTTACTTCGTCAAAGATATGTAACTTTGAACCATTTCAGAGTTTCTTAATTCAGATGATATTCAAAGAATTGCAAGTTTGCAAATGTGATTCATTGTTTAACATCTTTAAAGTAACATAAATTTATTTAAAAGTCCTTACAAAAACTTGAGAAAAAATGAAAAAACAAATTCAAACAAAATGTCTCAAATGTTGAAATGGTCTTCCTCACTTGGATGCCCCCAAGTTGTTGAAGTCGATCCGATTCTTGTTACGTATTTTATGTATGATTCTCTTGATTGTGGAGTTATTCTCGATAGTGCGCCCTGGGACTCCGCTATGATTTTCGCAATGAGCGTTCTCATCATACTACCTGGGGTACGGGGCTTCATGGATTTCTCTGGATATGGTGACACCGCGTGTGCGTCAAACAACTATTGGTAAAGCTCCTTATTTGTGATAGGATCAAAATGTTCTCATTTTTGATAAGACATGTGAATGTAAAAAAAGGAAAAATAATGTGAATGTAAAAAAAGGAAAAATAATGTGAATGTAAAGAAAAATAACAAAATGCACAATATGTCTGAATGCATGATGCATGAAATGTTCAAGGCATTGATCCAAAAAATGTACCTATTATTATAAATAATCCTTATTGGGGCAAAAGTGTTACGTCTTAAGAGACAAAAATATTTTGAAGGCATAGACCCCGAACAACTTCTGATAGGTTGACTAGTCTTCTACCTTCGTATGTCACCGGTTGAATACCCTGTCAAACCGTTCCGGCTCCTTTGGCTAAAATGTGCAAATAACGAGCTGCTTGCCCCCAAAAGGTCTCGAAGGACTGCATCGCCGGCTTTCACTCTATGTCGAGCTTGTTCCAAACGAAAGTGCCATCGGAGCCCTCCACCCAAAGTTTATCGACTTGTTTCTAGAATTTATCAATAATGATCTCCAGCTTAGCTAGGGTTTCGCCATCTTGATCTCGCAGTTTTCGAAAGGACTCTCCGGGTCAGTAACATTTTCCTCGTCTTGCCCCTGCACCTTTTGCCTCCGAGTATTCTTTGACCACGGCTGGGCTTCTGAGCTTTTTATCTCTTTATATTATAATCCCTTTGTCCATTAATACAAATTATTCATGTTTAACAAACACATTTTTGGTGGATCAACACATCGTTTTAAATGATGCAAACGATGAACACAAAATAAAAGAGAACAAAAAATAAAAGGGTTAACAAAAAATAAAAGGGTTAGTGAGGTAAATCAAAACAATAAAAAAAAATGAAAAATCCTGCCCCACATGATATCTACTCCGCATGCTTTAATTCCTACCCGGACATGATCTCTATCCCGCATGCTAATTTCAAACAAATCCTAACCGCATATTTGTCTAGTTCGCATGCTTTGAACAGAAAATAAAGCAGGAAACAAAGCATCCTAGGGTTTGGAATGAGGTCTTGAGGTGGGCTCTAATTCCATGCACTCTCCCGGTTTAGGTTCTAAAAAGGTACTCGAGTTCTCCTTTCCGGTGCCCCCTTGGGCTTGCCAAACCCTTAGTCCTAAGCCCATCACAGGCTTGTGTGGACTAAGTTAAACTCGAGAGGACACATTCCCTTATGCCCATACGGAGAATAAATTCACACGAAGGCATAAGGT